TTCACTTGTTTATTTACTTGTAAAGTTGACTTTGATTTTACCTGTTGCTACGGCAACTGTGGAGAGAGCATTTTCGTCAATGAAGCACATAAAAAATGAAGTGCGGAATAGTATTGGTAATCAATATTTAAATGATTGTCTAGTGTGTTACATAGAGCGTGATGTATTTATAAATGTTAGTAATGATGTCATTATCGATCGTTTTCAGAATATGAAAACTCGTCGAGGACAATTGTAAATGAATGTTGAATATTTATAATATTAGTAAATAGTAATATTATTGAAAGTTTTTAAATTTGTTAACTTCATGCTTTTAGTGTGGAGTGTGGATTTGTAATATCTTATTATTTATATTTTATTGATTAATTTATGATATATATCGAAAAGACGAATAATTTAATCAAATATAAAATTAATTTAATCGATAAGTTTATTTGGCACCCCCGGACTCTAAATCCTGGATCCGCCACTGTCCACCAACTCAGTGGACTAAAAATTCAACATGCAGCTCAAAGGATTCAACTATTGTGAATACATATTCTAAAGAATCGTGCATTCTAATGCCATTTTTCTTCCATATGCAAGAAATTGGAGCATGTATATTGAGAGGTTAATAAATGAATAACTCTACTAATAGACATATAAATATATTTTCAATTGTACAATCATAATATCAAGTTTAGGTTATTAAATTCATGTGCACTTTCATGGTGGAGAGATGTATAGTTGATGTGCGCTACCAAAAGATATATCCCTTTACATTCTTTACGCCACTGCAACAAAAGAAGAAAACGGTAAAGAGGTAAATTGTTAATTTAAATTAAGCATAGTAAACATACCTTAATAAACATTGCATATGTAAGGGTCATAGGTACATATAGCACAAAATATAAAATAAGAAAACAAAAAAGATAAGTTGGAATGTTTCGAAAAATGTACAGATTATTAGAAGCTTAAAACTTAATTCTTTATTTGTAGCTTCATACCATGTAGTTGGAAACAACATTTCTTAGCTCGTGTCTCCTACCTACTTGAGATAGATGTAAAGTTTGAATACGATCTATCCTCTCATATCCCCTTTGCAGCTCCATACCACATAAATGATACATTTAAAATCCATTAGAAAATTAGTTATCTTAACCATAGAATCTATTTTGCAATAGAAAATACATGAATGCAGAATGTTATCTAGGGATACAACATGTAAATAGTCTTCAGTTGCAATGTGAAATCACGAAGTTGAAAATATATTGGCCAAATAACAGAGGGAGGCTACAATTTTATTGTATTCACAAACACACACCATAAATAAGGATCAACATTGATTCTCTATTTGTATGAATGTCGTCGAGATTGCTCCTAATAAAATGTCAAAAGCCTAAGTCATTTTTTTTGTGTCTTGTATTCACAATTTTGGGTGTGAGTTGAGAGGTTACATAGCAAAGATTCAAAGACCGCAATACAAATTTGTACTTAGAACTCAGGCCTAAAATTTCATTCTTCATCATCCTCCGTCAAAGTCATGCCTTCAAGAGTTGAAGTTGGGGTGACACTCTGTATTGCTCCTATGGCAGTTATAACCGTGACCAAAAAGTAGAGGGAAAAATGCTTATTTGCTAAGTAATATTTTTATCTTCAATTTTTTCAAGATTAGTCAGATCAAAAATATTTCAACACTATTGATTGTGTCTATTCAACCAATATGAACACATGAAACCAAAGCTTCGAGAAAGTATAAGATCACAACTTTCAGAGCTCAATGTGGTAATAGAATTTTCATTGTTAAAGTTGCGGTTTTTATCCAAGAACAACTACTAAAAATAAAGACAACGCCATATTTTTCAAGAGAAAACGATAAAAATTTAAAGGTTCTTAAAAGAATGTGGAATGGTACCTTAAGGGCTTGGATATTGGAGAACTCGAAATCAATCATTTCACCTGATTCAACAAGCTAATTAATTATTCTAATTTGTAACTCCAACTATAACTCCCATCTCTCTTGCCTTTCTTCCCTTATATACAAATTAACATTCTCTCTCATCTTATACCTTTCTCCTAAAGTCACTCTACTATATCAAAGTTTCAAATTTAAAAAGATATTCTTCCTCCCTCCTAATCGTATTTCCCAAATTTCAAAAGATTTAAAAAATCTTTTAAGCTTTGTACTAAGTTAAAATCAGACAAATAAATTGAGTTTTTTTTAACATAATGAATCCAGTACTATTTCATTTGTGCTAATTTCTATCTATTTTGTCGATAGAATCATGTAATTCCTGGGCAACATTTTTATACTCCTACAACGAAGCACATACTAGATAACACACAAAGTTTAAGCTCCTAAAACACAAATCACCGAGAAAACATTATCCAACCTACCATTTTCTACATTCTCAGGCAACCATCTTGTCACTCTTTGAACCAAATCCATCACCCCATTTCCTAGATAAAATGTCGCGCCCTTAAAAACCATGGAGAAGATAAAACAAGAATAAGTTTGGTGAAGAGAAATGACAATTATATAAATTACTTCTTTTGTATTGAGGTATTTGTATAATTTATTTTGTATATTTTTTGTGATTTATATTTTTATCAATACATTTCACATACAATTCTATAGATTTAGCGTATCAATGTTTATTGTGGTTTTCTTACATTTTTAGACTTTATTTGTATATTTTCATCAATTATATACAATTAATTCTTTTGTATTTGTATATTATCAGCATATTTTCAGCTACTATTTGTGTAATTCATCATTTGTATACATTTACTTATTTGTACATTTCAATCAATTGTGTGTTTGTGTATACATATATATTAGCAATTCTCATTTGTATATCTAATACAAGTATATTTGTTAATGATGTTTATATACGTTTGATTTGTATATTTATTAAGTCATTTTTGACATGTTTATTTAGGAAGTTAAATTTATCTTTCTTTCCTTTTTAGAAGTCATATTTGATAAGAAATTACAATCAGATGCAATAACCATGAATTGTGTGATTATTTTCTATTTTAATAACCTAAATTACCTCTTTATTAATTAAGTTAAGAGTTCAAATTGTATAAAAATTAAATTTTCAGTGAGATATACAAAAAGAGTAAGGCATGTACTGAAACTATAAATATGCTACGTAATTAGGTAAACTGTACCTAAGGAGGCTCATTATCTTTCAACTCTTAGTTATTTATGAAATTTCATCTTCCAATAAATACAAGTAGTAGTAGAATAAGAAGAGGAGGAGGAGGAGGAGGAGGACGACAAAGAGGGAGAGGATGAAGAAGAAGAGGAAGAGGAGGAGGGGGAGGAGGAGGAGGAAGAAGAAGAAGAAGTGGAAGAAGAAGAAGAAGAGGAGGAAGAGGGGGAAGAAGAGGAGGAGGAGGAGGAGGAGGAGAAAGAAGAATAAGAGGAGGAAGAAGAAGAAGAGGAGGACGAAGAAGAAGAAGAAGAAGAAGAAGAAGAAGAGGAAGAGGAAGAGGAAGAGGAAGAGGAAGAGGAAGAGGAAGAGGAAGAGGAAGAGGAAGAGGAAGAGGAAGAGGAAGAGGAAGAGGAAGAGGAAGAGGAAGAGGAAGAGGAAGAGGAAGAGGAAGAGGAAGAGGAAGAGGAAGAGGAAGAGGAGGAGGAGGAGGAGGAGGTAGAAGAAGAGGAAGAAGAAGAGGACGAGGAAGAGGAGGAGGAGGAAGAAAAAGAAGAAGAAGAGGAGGAGGAGGTAGAAGAAGAGGACGAGGAAGAGGAGGAGGAGGAGGAAGGGAGGAAGAGGAAGAGGAGGAGGAGGAGGGGAGGAAGAGGAAGAGGAGGAGGAGGAAGTGGAGGAAGAAGAAGAAAAGGAGGAAGAAGACGATGAAGAAGAAGGATTTGGATCAATTTAGAATCTAACTCAACTCAAAACCGATCTAATACCTTATGTGATGAAGAGGAATAACAAGAAGAAGAGGAGGAGGAAGAAGATGAAGAGGAAGAAGAAGAAGAAGAGGAGGAGGAGGTAGAAGAAGAGGAAGAAGAAGAGGACGAGGAAGAGGAGGAGGGGGAGGAGGGGAGGAAGAGAAAGAGGAAGAAGAAGAGGAGGAGGAGGAAGAAGAAGAAAAGGAGGAAGAAGACAATGAAGAAGAAGAATTTGGATCAATTTAGAATCTAACTCAACTCAAAACCGATCTAATACCTTATGTGACCCTTTTTTTATTTAAACAAAAATTTACATAAATTCATCCATCAAAATAATAGTCATCAAATGTAAATTATTTATTTATTAATGTAAATGTACGTAAAATATATTATACATAAAAATGTATATTTTATATATTT